TCATTAGACTTATGTTCGCTACCTTTTCATTAAAGAGATCAGTTGGGACTTAATGTTTCGTTTCAATTCAGCACTACTACTTCCTTCTAAAAGCATCCCTCTTCCAGGGAATCAAGTATTCCCCATAGGGTGGGATACTTGATTCCCTGTAGTATTTCTAGTAAACCCAACTTGTTACATTTGTCCTGGAAGATATTGACTATTCATCGGTGCCAAATGGAAGGTATTGAATCAAGACAGGAAGTGAGTCGAACCGAATCTCAAATGTACTGAAATAACTCTAGATATACAGAAAAATCAAAAGTGGGGATCAAGTATCACTACTCTCCCCTACTGAAATGGTAAGTATATCCTTGTAGCAATTATTTTCTGAAATGTATAGAAGTTTTTTCAAGGTACCATAATGGATATTAAAACTGTGAGGTCAAAGTATATCATCGAATAAATATCCTATTCTTTCATGAATCAAAAAGTTAATCTTCAGTAGAAACTGGAAATTGTTCTATAGCCTCTTACCACACCATGATTCAAGTGTAAAATCTTCAGATGGTATGTTGTTGATTTTTCTGTTTTTGGACTTGAATTTTCACTCTTATGAGAGAACGAAAATATACAATTTTATAAACGTGATTTCCATGAAGTCATTCAAATTATGGGATATGGACATACACAATCTGATTATTACGGTAACCAAAAGTGTAATTCCTGTTTCTAAATATTTTCAATACCGAAATAACTTTATGGCAACAATGATTGATCATTATCGAACCACCAAATATTTGAACTTGACACAGATAACAAGTGAGCACTTTCATTTATATGTGATGTTGACCAATTCAGATTTCGGATACATCAAACAGCGAAGTATGATTGTTTTGCATCTGATCCTTCCTCTTTATAATAATTACATACCAATTAGAAAACCGAGGATTTTCATTTAAATTATCACATCAATACCGAGGCCTACTTAACTCTCAATCATCTCTGAATGACTCTAGGAGCGTTTATAATTGGTAATACATCAAGCTATCTCATAAGAAGAACTTTTCAACTATTTTTTTTTTAATTTTTGTGGAGTTTCTTTTGAGATCCGAGAAATGAAAAAAGTCTCTGAGGGACAGATTTAGAGAATACAGTTAATGCAATTCAGGCAGTTTTGCAATCATTTTCATTGATTTGTGACTCGGTGCATTGTCTTGATAAAACAGCACTGTTTTTCTTTAAGTAGGGCTGGTTTTTCGCGATTTACTCTTCAAATGCTATTTAATAGTCGCTGTTGATGGTTTTACCCTTCTCAAGATAGTCAATAAATGTTATACCATGCGTATCCCAAAATACTGATACCACATCCCTACCAGCCGAGTGGTGCGTCTTAGCATGCTTTGGATTGGGTTCTCGATGTGTAATCCACTCAGATAACGATCCGATCGTTTTGATTCTGGTATGAAATGATGGAGCCATGTTTCACCCATTGTCATTCATCGAC